ACAGTACTGGGATGACCAGAGACTGCGGACAGTACAGGGATGACCAGAGACTGCGGACAGTACAGGGATGACCAGAGACTGCGGACACAGTACAGGGATGACCAGAGACTGCGGACACAGTACAGGAGATGACCAGAGACTGCGGACACAGTACAGGGATGAGACCAGAGACTGTGGACACAGTACAGGGATGACCAGAGACTGCGGACACAGTACAGGGATGACCAGAGACTGCGGAGAGTACAGGAGATGACCAGAGACTGCGGACACGGTACAGGAGATGACCAGAGACTGCGGACACGGTACAGGGATGACCGACTGCAGACACGGTACAGGGATGACCAAGACAGCAGACATAGTACAGGGGGACAGAGACTGCAGACACAGTACAGGGGATGACCAGAGACTGCAGACACAGTACAGGGATGACCAGAGACTGCAGACACAGTACAGGGATGACCAGAGACTGCTGACAGTACAGGGATGACCAGAGACTGCAGACACAGTACAGGGATGACCAGAGACTGCAGACACAGTACAGGGATGACCAGAGACTGCGGACACAGTACAGGAGATGACCAGAGACCAGAGACTGCAGGAGATGACACAGTACAGGAGATGACCAGAGACTGCGGACAGTACAGGGATGACCACCAGCAGACGGACAGTACAGGGATGACCAGAGACTGCGGACACAGTACAGGGATGACCAGAGACTGCGGACACAGTACAGGAGATGACCAGAGACTGCGGACAGTACAGGGATGACCAGAGACTGCGGACAGTACAGGGGATGACCAGAGACTGCGGACAGTACAGGGATGACCAGAGACTGCGGACACAGTACAGGGGATGACCAGAGACTGCGGACACAGTACAGGAGATGACCAGAGACTGCGGACAGTACAGGAGATGACCAGAGACTGCGGACAGTACAGGGATGACCAGAGACTGCGGACAGTACAGGGATGACCAAGACTGCGGACACAGTACAGGGATGACCAGAGACTGCGGACATAGTACAGGAGATGACCAGAGACTGCGGACACAGTACAGGGATGACCAGAGACTGTGGACAGTACAGGAATGACCAGAGACTGCGGACAGTACAGGAGATGACCAGAGACTGCGGAAAGCACAGGGATGACCAGAGACTGCGGACAGTACAGATGACTGCTGACCTTTGGGGAGGGAGGGGGGAGCGGGTACCTGAATTTGACAGGTACCCGCTCTTACTTCCGCCGAGTTTTTTTTTTATCTTACCTGTTCCTTTATCCAGCCGCGCGCTGTCTTCCCGGCTTCTGTAGTGTGGGCGCTCGTCGGACAGCCGGATGCCCAGTGCGCATGCGCGAGAAGCGTTGCGCTTTGTGATTGGTCCGGCGGCTTCTGGGATCTGTCATGTGTCCCAGGTACCGCCTTACCATTCACAAAGAGCACTGCTTCTTGCGCATGCGCACTTGGGACCCGGCTGTCACGCACACTACAGAAGCCGGGAAGACAGCGCGCCGCTGGATAGAGGGACAGGTACGGTCCCACTGCAGAGCTGAGCGGCCGGCCCGGTATTCTGACACGGCGGCGGTGGAAATACCGGACCGGCCGCTCTATATTCGCTCCATAAGACGCACTGACATTTTCCCCCCTTTTTTGGGGGAAAAAAAGTGCGTCTTATGGAGCGAAAAATACGGTATTTCTCCTGGCATGCCCACAGATAAGGCTCGGCGTGCCGGCTGTGGCACGCGTGCCACGGGTTCGCCATCACTGACCTAGAGTATTACTTGAACAACAGCATCTGAATGGATAGCTGCTTATATTAATTGACTTTGTTTTGTTTTTCTTTTTATGGCTATTTGTTCAAGCCTGAGTTATAAAAGTAGGCCAATTTTGGTTGATTTTGATATATTGGGTAGTATCATTATTATATTGGGTAACCCCTTTAATAAATGACTGATTCAACAAATAAACTTGTTGAATCTTTATTCCAGACTTGCTCAACCTCTTTACTTCAGAGGAACCCTTTGTAACGTACATGTGACATGATGTAACGTACATGTGACATAAATGTACAGATTTGAGTAGATAAGATGCGATCAGTAGCAATATGTAATCGTAAACCTTAGGGGCATTCCATTGTCATTAAGGATGTATTCAGTACTTGTCATTGGGGAAATGAGGTACTCAGACAGTGGTCATCAATTAGCATCAATTGGCTTCTGAAAAGCCTGGCTTCCTCTGGAAGTGACACCTTTGTGTTAATAAGGTTGTCACCTTCTGGTGAAACCGGTTTAAAGGAAGTGGCAGGAGACATTTCGGCTTCATGACAGCAGGGGGCTCGATCTGTCTGGGGGAGCTAAAGAGCATATCCATACATCAAAAGGGGTATGTTTCATCTCTCATAAAAGCTAAAATATTAGTTTCAGAGAGATGAACATACTCCCTTCTGTTAGGGCATTCTGTGCGCCACATCGACACCTAAAAATCATATTTGTGGCTTAGGTAGAAGGCCAGGAAAATGCAGGAAATGGTTAGGTGGCGCTGGATTGCGACAGTTGAATGGTGTTTGGTACTATCACGATTGGCCGATGCGCTGGTGTCGGAAATCCAATCCCTGACTTGGTGTTTCAAGCCGGTCTTAGTCCAATTGAACTTGGGCAGGTTAGCATCCAGAACATCCTGTGGGCAGGTACAGGAGCAGCCCCCCATAGTCAGTTTGGCCGAGGACTAATGTCCCGCCTATGTCCATATCCCCATAAAAGGAGTACCTGGGCATTGGGACATTTGTGATTTGTATGGAGCCAGTTCAATTTGACTGGCGGATTGCTGACGCTCTGACTTGCTCCAGTCGCAGGATAGATCTTGGTAAAAGTTTTATTCTGTTTTATTCCCTTTTATTTTATAGTGAATAGTCATTTGTGGTCTTCTTGTATTTTTTTGTATTTCTGTAACTTTTTACACTTTGTACGTATTTTATGCACTGCCCACTTTCGGGAAATTTAAAGCTTAAAATTAATTAGTGACTTCTGTGTATTTAAGCATGTGCTCATATCTTCGGAGAGATTAGATTGGATTAGATTAGATTGTATTGTATTTGAATGCCTTTAAATGCTCGGTCAAGCTCATTGCCAATCTGTATGCAATTGCACTGTGTATGGGCAGATTGTGTGCAGATTGTAAAAGGTAACAGATCGGCCAGACGGAGATCTGGGTTTGTGGGGTCTCCCAGCATACCGTTCTGCGGATAAATTGTTGGGTGGTGGCAGGCTACCTTTTGTGGTGTGTCTGGTTTGGGGGGGTGTGTGGACAGTGGAAGGGTGATTAACACCGGGGTTCAAGCTGTAGGGTAGCTGGAGGGACTCTAGAAGGGTGGGTAACTACTAAGCTGGTCCTCAACTCTAATCAGTGCACCAGATTGTATGTAAGATTTGTATCTGCCAGTGTGTGGTCGACCAGATGGATTGGAGTGGAGTCTCCATCTGGTGGTGGCCAAAAGGTAGTGCGGGATGTGGAAGTATATCACGGCTGGTCTTATATACGGTTTTATATATTCAGAGTTTAGTCCCCTTTATTCCCTCTTACCCCCTGTCACGGCCGCGCGTGCACGCCTCTGTTAGCTAGTTGCTGTGGGCGTGGTGTGTGGGGAATTCGTGACACCCCTAAATAATTTTAAGGTCTCGGAGAACCCCTGCTAAAATGAATTCATGGGAGGCCAGTGGGAAGAATGCCCCATGCACTAGTGCTCAGTGAGAAGAATGCCCCTTACATTAGTCAGTGGGAAGAATGCCCCTTATATTGGTGGTCAGTGGTAAGAATGCTCCTTATATTGGTGGTCACTGGGAAGAATGCCCCTTATATTGGTGGTCAGTGGGAAGAATGTTCCTTATATTGGTAGTCAGTGGGAAGAATGCTCCTTATATTGGTGGTCAGTGGGAAGAATGTTCCTTATATTGGTGGTCAGTGGGAAGAATGCCCCTTAAATTAGTGGTTAGTAGGAAGAATGCCCCCTAATCACGCTGGTGGCCTCTGGGAAGAATACCCCCTTTAGAGTGGTAGTCAGAAAATCACATTTACAGTCAGCTGAAATTATATAATTGGTGTCATGATGCTGGTTCTGCCAAGTGGTTTTGGACCCAGAACTATGCAGACACTATCTGATAGGAAGTCAATTAGCTGCAGCTCAAAAAACCTTCTAGCAGCCTCTGGAGGAACTCTGGTTGAGAATGTCTGGATTATTCTGTTTCTTCAACAACAGCTTATACAGTACTCTCAGCAAGCTCACCTATAATGAAGAAAATAAATGGTTTGAGCCAGCTTGAACCAAATAGAACTATTAAAGGCACAGTAAACATGGAGTTGGACTTTAAAGATCTAGCTAGGTTTTTACAAGCTAGCCAAATTGTGTTTTCAAATTAGCACAGCTCCTTTAGCATAATGAGTCTGTCCAAATGTATCCGAGATAAGAGTGGCACCAGGTTATCTGAATGTTATGAGCATTCTCATATTTTATAGTTATATAGAAATTCCCAATGGCCATCTTATACCAAATCTATAAACCTATTAATACAAACTGTATAGATATATTTTATTTAGTGTTCTTAGCACTTCCAAGAGTCTTAGGTGTCTTCCCTGACAAAACGACTTATTCATACAATTATTTCCTCTATACTTCATCTGGGTAGGATACAAAAATGAGGATAAAAACATTGGTGCCCATCAGAGCAGGCCAATACCAAACAAACATTTGCTGGTCAAAACTGTAAATGACCATTTAGTCACATTGTAAGCACCACTGCAAAATACTAAAGCAATTGCATAGAATAAAAGTAAATATTTAAATAGGTTTGATTAAAAAGGTAATTAGTAAATCCCCCTTATCGTTTTCCTATCAATATAAAGTACACATAAAAAGTGCCATAGAAATCTACAAAATGCCCTTTCAGTTGACCCCATTTTCATGAGCTATTTCAGTAAAATGGGGTCTTTTTCTCAATGGATGTCAAGTATTTTGTTACAAAAATACAGTGCATAGAACAAGCCACAATTAACATTGTTTTGTAAGCAGTAATCCCTTCATTAAATAGCTGCAATGTGGATAAGAGTCAATCTTAGTGATTTGTGTCCCTCTATTGATTACGGTTCTTTGGTTCGTGTTAATTGCACTTGGTCTCCCCTGCCGTGTATTTAATCTCAACTGAAGGACTCTTTGTTGTATTCAAATCGTGTTCCGTAACGGTTAGGACGATTGCACATTTTGTGAAGATCCTTGGAGAGTCCCTTTGGGCCACAGCAAAACACTCCCACCGACTTCCTGGAAATGAACAAAATAAATGATGAAGTTAATACAGATGTATGTGTCTACATTCAATGTACCTATGTTTGTTGCCCGGTACAGTTATCATCAGCAATCAATCGTAAAGGAGGTGACTGGCCAACTACCACCTTCACATAAGTTTTTTCTTTGTAGGTTAGGGTTGGGGCAATGGTTACAGTAATGGCTGTAGTTTACCTGGGATTTGGCCTAGGGTTTGGGCTTTGGCTAGAGCTAGGGTGACTAGTGTAAAGTTGAACTCCAGAAAAATATAAAGGACACGCACAAATGCAGCTCTGTGTTCCGTAAAAGTGAAGTATGGTCAAAGATTTTTTGGCTATACTTCTTTTGTGGGTCACAGAGTTACAATTACTGATGTCCTCCTCTTACCCAGAGTCAGTTATAGCAGGCTATTGCCCACTATCAACTGACAGGGCAGAGTCACTCCAGGCTCAGGAAACATCCCGATAATAATGTCGGGATCGAACCTGCTGCCTAATTGACAGCTGGTTCTGCCTTTCAGTCCATGACTAAGAACTTAAGTCAGCTGCTTTTGCCTCCTCCTCAGCCTGGTGCTGCAGCATGGAGCAGACCGAGAACTGAGCAATCGTGATCATGCAGTTCCCAGTTTTAGAGCTGATTTGGGACAGCTGCAGCATCACCCAGATACTGCAGCATGGAGGTGAGTATGTACTGTATGTTTACCTTTTTTTTAAACCCCATATGTCTCCTTTAATAAATCATTCAATTTACTTTTTCAGTGCAAACAGTGTAAATACCTTAGTTGGACTTGGTATCAGTCTCTTGCAATCAATTGTACAGTTGGTATAGCAGAGCTCAGAGAAGGGGAGAGAGAAACAGCTGAAGCGAGGCAGCCAGGTGTGCTACAGTGCAAGGAGCATGCTGATAGGAGTAAAAAGGAGAGCGAGAGAGATAAGCACATTGACTGCTTTTTCTTGCACCACCCAGTAACACATAAGTGATGGGAAGAGAAAAATCAGGTCCCCTCACCTGGCATACAGAGCCATGATGTGTGGCAGAGCTGTGTAAATCTCAGATCTTTGGCAAATACTTTGGCAGGTAAAATATAACTTATGTAGGTATGGCATCTGTGTATTTAGCTGTTTGTTTGCAGTTCAGTTTTAAAGTTGGGTTAGAAAAGATGTAAGGCAGAGTCTATACCCTAGGTGTCATAAGATGATTGCATATACCAAACTTTCCAAATGAAGAGCCAGTTTACTGTCCTTTAGGCTTGGGGGGGACAGACCGTGGCAGGAAATGCCCCAGCGTCAGTGGGAGTAAACATTGCCTCAGGCTTGGTGTTAAATTGTAGCAAAACAATAAAATCACACCAGTGGTCAGTAGGAGGGGGAATAGTGTCCCATCATTGATATTAATGGGAGGAATAGTGCGTCAATGTTAGTGTCATTGGAAGGAATAGTGCCTCATTGTTTTTGTCAGTGGAAGAGTGGAAGGAATGGTCCTTCATCATTGGTGTCAATGGGAGGAATAGTACCCCATCAGTGGTGTCAGTTGGAGGAATTTTTCCCCGCTGTCTGAGTCAGTTTTGAAGGGATAGCGTGGAAGGAATGGCGCCTCAATGTTGGTGTCAGTGGGAGGAAAAGAGCCTCATATCAGAGTGAAAGGCCCCAAGGGCTGGATAAAGCCAAGTAAAGGGCCACATTTGGACCATGGACCACAGTTTGGAGATCACCTTTTTCAGAACTATTGTAACTTTTTCAGCAATTCGAGCTACAGTAGCTCTTCTACTGGATCAGACTACACAGGCTGGCCTTAGCTACGTACATCAGTGAGTCTTGGCCACCCATGACTCTGTCACTGGTTCACTGCTTTTCCTTCCTTGGACCACTTTTGGTCAGTCCTGACCACTGCAAACTGGGAACATCCCACAAGAGCTGCAGCTTTGGAGTTGCTCATTACAATTTGGCCCTGGTCAAAGTCACCCAAATCCTTCCGCTTGGCCAATTTTTGAGCCCATTTTCAATAGGCATGCACCTGGGTTTCCCGCACCGAGTTCCATTGTGAACTGGGGCTAGGAGTACTAATTTACTGAGCGTATCAGAAATAAAATAATGACCAGTGAGATGTCTTCACAGTGCATGAAAAACACGGGAGGGGGCTCAGCTACAATAAGTGACAGCATGAATATCTGTCTACTGCAGTACTTCATCTTTTATTATTGGGAGCTTAGGAGGCGATTGGAAACATTTACTTATAAAATGAAACCTCTTTAACAATTCCCTGAATATTTAGAACAAAACAAAAATGCTATCATTTTGAATACAAAGAAGATCTAACACTGGTAAATGTGATAACTATGCTACAGAGTCAGTAGTCTACATGGATTAGGTATACTGTACATGATTTTAACTCACATAATACTAGTATACCAGTACATAACCAGTATATAAATAACTGTATACAATGCTTAGATGTGCCTGATGCGGCTTACATTTGGGGTTTAGCAGCAGCTGACAAATCACTGCACAGCGGTATATAAGCCTATACATGGGGATATAATGCATTTCCCACTGCCTGCAATCAGTAAGAGAGGATATTCTGGGAAGGGGCACCGGCGACCTGCTGATCTGCCTTGATAACATCATGGAACTCCACGGCAACATGCAGTAAACTAATTATGCTTTCTGGGGATATTGCCATGGTTAATGCATGGGCAGGAAGGCACCGGAGTTAACATACATTCACCTAGCCTGATTTATAAAAAGGATAATTTTTCTTTAAAATGTTACCTCTGTGTAAACCCTTCAGGTCCAGGAGACACACAAATCATAAAACCTACATGGCTGTCTATCTATCTATCTATCTATCTATCTATCTATCTATCTGGCTATCTCTCTCTCTATCTATCTATCTCTCTCTCTATCTATCTATCAATGTGAGCTGGATACAAACAAATAAAATTTAAATTAATTAAAATTAAAAAGTATGAATTAATTAAAAAAAAATTATAATAACATTAAAAAATTTGAACCAGACATGAGGTGCAGGTTTGCTGCTACCACTGGTTACTGATGAAAGCCCATGGTTCACACACAAATTTTTTGCTGAAAGCTTTACAGGTTGGACACCAAAAATAAGGATCAATCGATAATGTACAACATAGTCTTTCCCCTGGTCAGCTGACTCACGAGAGCCAATAGTCTGAAAGAATGGATAACCAAGCCCCCTCACTATACAAGGGCAGCCATATTGTCAGTGTGTGTTGTTTTAGGGGAAATTGATAATTTTGTATGGGGAGACATATTGTGCTTTTATTTGTGGCATTGGTATATGTCTCTGATAGCAGAGCCAAGGTTCCCATGCTTTTGTTTGACAATAGCTTCATTATTAGCCCTACAATTGACCAGAATGAAAAAAAACAGACTGTTCATGGACCAAATCCGGGCAGATTTGCTCAACCCTAATTCCTACCCGACTCATGCACTCATGACTTGCATGGCAATTTCTTCTTTGATTTCTAATAAAAAAAAAAACCATCAGTACTGCATTGCTAATTTCCTAATCATTTAAGCAGACCATCTTTTTAAAATGGGAAAGAAGATACAGTATTTATAGTACAAAGTACTATAATAAATTGATCCTTTACACAAGAGTTGTACCGAAAGTAATGCAAAAGTGGGCATGACTTTTTTTATTATCTTATATAGGTTGCTCAAATTTCACATATTGTTAGAATAATTCTTTCTCCATAGTAACTCTTCTTCTTTTTTTCCTTGCAGATAAATAATGGATTCCAAGCAAAAGCACCACTCTATCATTGAGTTCTTGACACAGGAGGGATGCAGGCTCTTTGACATTGATGGTCTCCTACTGCATGGTTGGTCTTCAGCGCTGGTTTTCTCTTTAAACTTCTTCATCCATCTATGTATATTGCTCTTCTCAGTGTGTCTTCTCCGTAAACATTCTGTAGCCTTCTGTGGATGTTGAACAGCCTGAACCCCTCATTCGTCAAGAATTCAATGACAGCAAGTTGCTTCTGCTTGAAGGCTACAGAGTGCTTACAGAGATGACATATTGGGGATGATTTACTAAAGGCACTTTGAAATTGCAGATTCAAGAGCTTTTGCTTCAGAGCTTGGTAAAGGAGGGAAAGCTCTGCTGATTTCCATCATCCAATTAGGTGCAAGCAAAAATGCCATTTTTTTTATTTATTTTCTTTGCATGTGATTGGGTATTATCTGCAAAATAAAGCTTCACCTAATTTACTTAGCTCTGGAGCAACCGCCCTTGTAGAGTGCAACTGCATTTGTGAAATGAACAGTCTATTTGCCTTTAGTAAACCAACCCCAAAGACTCAATGGGGGTTATTTAATAAATCGGGAGAGTGCTAAATCTGGTGCAGCTCTGCCTAGAAACCAATCATCTTCTAAGGCTTTTATTTGTCAAAGTTTAATTGAACAAGCTGAAGTTAGAAGCTGATTGGCTAACATGCAAAGCTGCACCAGATTCTGAATGTTCCAGTTTTAGTAAACCTCCTCCAATGATGGCACGCTGATTCTGCTTTAAATAAATTTTTACCTGCAATAAAAAAGAAGAGTTACTATAGAGCACAGGTGTCGAACACAAGGCCCGCAGGCCGAATCTGTCCCTCCAGGCCATTTCATGTGGCCCTTACACCTCTCCTGTAAGTACCCCCTTGTCTGCACCTCCACCTTGTCTCAGCAGTCAGCAGCAGAGAGGAGAATATAACTCAGCCAAATCCTGCAGCTCTCAGTGCAGCTGCAGCATCCCCTCATCTCTGCCTCCCCTGGTCTCAGAATTCAGCAGACTCTGGTAACTGACTCCATTCCTCCTCTGGTCCTCCTCCAGACCCGACACTTTCTGCTTTCCAGCTCTTCCCCCAAAGGGGGTGCAGGGTGATGTTAGTGAGGGTGTGGGATTATTGACATCTGATGTAATGAGGGGTGGGGTGCTCTGGACATCTAGTCTTACAGATACAACCGGCCCTTTGAGGGCAA